AGCTTCTCGCCCTCAATGTGGCTAATGGCTCTACTGGATCTTATATATCCTCACCGACTTTCCAAAGTATTCTCAGTTCCTGGTCAATAGGCTGTATCATGTACTAGTCATCTCATTTACTCCATCTCCATGGCTCTTGGTGTAGTTATGACAATATGTCCTGGCAAAAAACTTCAGGTTCAAGTACTTGTTTTTATTTGAATGTAACACCTCTCAAGATATGAACTAATCGCTGTAAGGCAGGAACTATCTGAGAGTGTCTGATATGTCTTTTATCATGTGGTTCACCCATTCAATGAGAACTTTCTACAGTGTTGTCAGTAGTGGGTTGTTAGCTATTAAGATTGATGTCGGTCATGTTTGGTACTTCTTGCTGTTGAAAGCAGTGAACAATTGCCATCAGTAAGGGCTCTGTTCATGCTGTTTGTTGGTTTTGCCCAATACTACAAGATAATTGGAAATACACACATCTAGGCACATCTTCTGTAATTCTGTCCATATGCTGCTGGAACAGATTGTGACAGACTGATAAAGTAATATCTTGCAAATAGTGTTCTGAAGGTAGTAACTTTCTGTGATTCCTATCTTAGTGTTTTGGACCAATATCCATGTTTAGCATTCAGCTTGGTGAAAAATTGTGAACTTGGGATTTAACTACCCTCATCCTGGAATTCTGTGGGCATCATTTTCGGTTCAGACATCTTAGATCTAGACTTAGTCTTTGTTTGTCGGATAAACCTGTATTAGTTGATCATGTCTATACAATGTGTCATATTTCCAACATGGATATAATGGGTCATATTTGCAATGTGGAAGCCTGTTCATCATCAGGTTGGAAGTTGTTTCACTGCAGGTCTTGATTTAGGTCTGTCTTGACCTGAAATCCAAATACCAGCTTAGGTTTACACAGGTTACTGGTGCATTTCCTGCTACCATTGGTTGTGCCCTGTTGCAGCTGTTGCACCTTTGGAGCCATATCTATTCCACAGGGCCCAGTGACCTTTTGTACTGCATACCTTGCACAGATCTTGGACTGCAGGATAGCTTTGCATCCGGTGTGATAAATTGCATTGGTTACACAGCCTACTTGCTTTTTGTGTCCTGGCTACAGTGGCAGTACTGTTTGCTGCACCTAATGCTTGCAAAGCCTGCTGACAGCTACAATAGTTTCATATGTTCTGCCCTCTGACAGCAGTGAATCTATGCTGTGACCTTTCTTTATTTCCAAGAAGTCTTAATGGAACCTCTGATATGTGTTGAGACAATCACCAACTCCATTATTTGCCCTGACAATTAAACCTCTGGAAAATTACATTTGTTGCCCTTATTATGGCATTTATTGACTTACTGATCTATTTATTTCTGTGACTTTTGTAGGATATTGTTTCTAAACGATTAATTTTAAAGGTGAATCTTGCATGCCGATGATCTTCTAGGACTTTCATTATCTTAATGGCTTCTTCCTGGTCCTGCCAATTTATTAACTCTATGCAACCCCTTGTTACCAACTGCTATTTGTGCCTTCATAGCTTATTTAACTGGGTTGAAGAACTTGCTTGGTCTATGAAACATAGCTGCATTACATGTTCAAAATGTTTGAGCTCAGATAGTTGATCAATGGCTTTCTAGCCACGGTGGTGGATTTGGTATCCATCCTTCTGATGTTTGATTACCTTTTCACTTATATGTAACTTTGTTCACTCCTGCTGCACTTTCGAAAGGGTGGCCGCATGTAAAACCTAAACTACTTGGAAATATCCAAAGGTTTTGTGAAGAACTAATTTTCTTCTGTGTTCTGTTATGTGGGAACTTTTTGGATGAATTTTATATTTTGTTTGTTGCTACCCTCTTGGCCTTCAAGCTCGTAAGACTGATTTCTTCTTTGTTACTTTTTTAAAAGAAAACATTTCCAGCTGTGACTGTGTAATAACATTCTTGTCTTAACTAAATGAAACACAAATCAGGTACATGGGTTCCATTTACTTGAAGAGTCAGGTAAGTTTATTTGCAGCTAGACAAATCTATACAGTTCAGAGCAATCTTCAAACACAACCTGTGTCTCAAGCGCTGTAGTGCAGAGAACCTGTGATGATGTGACAACACCCAGTAAGTTGAATAGCTAATTCACATGTTGAGCTTTTAGAAGGACTTTGAGGCAAGGTGATAACAGTACCTGAATGACACAGGGTGCTGTGACCAAGGAAAATGTTGAACCTACATTTTCCTCCTCATAACTATCTTTAAAATCTTTAAGATTATGGATTAGAATCCTGAATCTTTGAAAGCAATGCAAGCCATTCATTGGAAGCTGTGGTAGGACGGGTGCAGTGCTTTGAGGTTCCAACTTGGTGGATTTATGTGGGATATTGGAAGTATATTTCTGTGCCAGCAATAAAGTGGACTCTGCAGCAACATGAGCAGGCATATTTATGTGTATGAAAGGCTGAATTTGCACGCTGCCTCAGTGAAGTTGAGCCAAAGCAAGGTCAGATATTGAAAGTAAGCGAAATGTGGACCTCAGGACAAATGCCCTGAGACCAGAAGACTTGTTTCTCTTCTTTTCTAACAGCCTGTGGATGTGGGGTACTTGTGGCATTTAGAAATCTTCCCATTAAAATTACACCTTATTTTCCTCTATTTTCCCCTGAATCTAATGATTCAGTCTCTGAAAATGTCATCATTTTACAGGTCTAATATGATAAATTTATCATAAATATTTGGTCTATTCCTGATTAACATTATTCGATAAAGAAATAAATGTATTTATAAAAAAGATTGCATTTATAAGTAAGTGAAGACAGTTTTAATGTGAAAGGGTGAATTGTGTTGATGCAGGCTTGGAGGGCCGAAGGGCCCGTTCCTGTGCTGTATTGTTCTTCGTTCTATCACTAGCAGGGAAAACAGTAAGTGTAAAATGACAGTATCTAGTTGTATTATTAGAGGGGGAAATTCCAAAGCAATGAGGACACTGTCACAGGAGTCAGAAACTGACTTATCAAATAAAAAATGTTGATTAGTCAGGCACTAAGAGAGAAAGGTGGAGATGAAAGTGCTGGTGATATAGTGGTAATGTCACTGGGCAGTCCTCCAGAAACAGGGCTAATGTTCTGGAGACATGGGTTTGAATCCCACCATAGCCGATGATGAAATTTTAATTCAGGTTAAAAAAAATCTGGAATTAAGAAGTTAGTCGAATGGTGACCACATAATCACTGTTGATTGTTACAAAAGCCCTTCTACTTCACTCGTACCCTGTAGGGAAGTGAATCTGCCATCCTCACTCAGTCTACATGTGACTCCAGACCCATGTCAATATGGTTGACTCCTAACTGCCCCCTGGACAGTCAAGGATGGGAGATAAATACGGACTCAGCCAGTGACTTCCAAATTCCTTGAACAAAAGAAAAAGTCAACATTGTGTAGAAACCATCAGAACTGTGACATAGCTTCCATCAGCCGAGGCAAAACCAATGGGAACACACATGACCCCAGCACACTTCAGTTAGTGATGAGAAGATCCAGAATTCCTGTTCTTGATAATCATGTCGTAATCCCTGATGGAAAGTATGTGTGTCTGCTGAACAATGACGCACCCCATGGCTGAATAATTCACTGTCGCCAATTGTGAAAAGGCGCCTATTGCTGAAGAGCAGTCACTTGACTGCAGAAATGGTGATTTCCTGTCATCCCAGAAAAGTATTCCCCGCCAGGAGTCAGAAAAATTATAGAACAAAGTGCGAAAGGAGACGGGATTTCTGTTAGCAAGAGTGTTTTATAATATGAGAGCTGTGCTGTGTGAAAAGCTGTGTTCAATTTGCACAGAGTGAGGAGGCGGGCTGTCACCCAGTTTCCTGACACTCAAAGCACATTTTGACAGACAGGTTTGTCAGTGGATTACGCAGAACGCAAACATGGCAATGTGCTGCCTCCGTGGAACTTCTTATTCTATGTAACCAAATCAGAGCTGTCTGGCTTACACAACACACATGCACAGCTTGACTTGGTGCTCTGATGGACTGCTGACATGAATCACGTCATCTTGAGCTTGGTGACTAACAGTGTTTACTTTTAGTTCATTTCAGTTGTCTCAGAACAACACCACTGAAGTCTTTCATCATCTGAATCTCAAAGACTGCCCAAGGGCTGCAGCCATTTCATCTCTCTGTTGCCCCCCCTGTACCCCCACTGACCATTCTATGCAGGACATCCTGCAAGAAAACATTGGAACTCCATTTGATGTTCATCAAGGTAAGTAATGTTAAGACGGAAAAGCAGGACACTTTTGGACTTCAAACTCCATGTGTCAATGCCACAGATCTGGTGTGGCAAGCCAACTAAGTAAGCACCCATCTATGCTGGTCCGTCAGACACTTCCAAAACAGGCAGTGAAGGAATTAGAAAAAGATTAAAGTTTTGGTGCATTCTAACAGCACTTGTTACATGGGAGATGCAGAATAAAACTCTTCACACCAGTCCAACGATTAAAAATGAGCCACCCACTGCACCTACATGCCTCTTTTGCATTTTGGACCATCCACTTTCTCTGTAGTTTCTCAGTAAGATAGCCAATTCTATGAAAGTTTAAGGAGAATTACAGAGGTTTTGTGCTGGAGCCCTCTGCTTAATAGGGGCCAGTTGGCCCTTTCTAAGTACATTTCACCAACGTTCCAAAGAGCTAGAATGGAACTCAGTTCCCAGAAGGATAAAGGCAATAGGTAACATTAGTCAGTTCACTCCATTTACCTTACAATAGTGATGTGAGTTGAGAAAGATGTAGATAACTTAGAAATTCTATATAATATCCAAATTGAATAAACTCTATACTAAAATAACACTTCAATATCTGGTACACCATTTTCCGAGTCTCTCTACAGCTTGCAACAAAGAGCCTGTTAAATTCTCAAGGAAGTTGAGAATGAACTGGATGCTAAAACTACAGAACTGAACACAAAGACCAGATGATCTTAGCCTTTGAAGAGTCATAAATACCTGTTGCTTACCTGTTGGAGCGGTTATGTGTTTTGATCATTGACAGGCCAAGTGAAATTTGGGACCATATTCAAAACAAGAGTTTTGATGTTCCTGCTGGTGGAAGGTCTACTGATTGAACAAAGAAATTCAAAATCAGTCAATTACTGGCTGTTTCCTAAGCTGCATGGCTTTTAAAATAAACTGGTCTGTTGCTAATGCCACACAATACAAATCAAATATACAGCAGCAAGTTCCTGTGCAAGTGTGACCAGCAGCTATAGCACTGGGTGGCCAACTTCAGAAATTGGTTAATATGTAGTCATAATATTGCGAAGAATGGCATCCAGCTGGAAGGGAATTGTGAGACCCTGTTTTATCAATGAGGAAAATTCCAGGATTCATTCTTCAACAGCAAGGTGGGAAGATACATTTCCCAAATTGGAAAGGAGTCACCCTGTTCCAATGTGAAAGCTGGGCCTCATGAACATGGAGCTGACCAACCCTCGACTTAAAATGGGAGGTATGTATCAAAAGTCAGGTCTGTCAGGGGTGCCAGTTGGGCCTAAGGTAAGTCAAGGGGTAACTAGCCAGAACTTCAAGATGGTCGGCATCTTGCCAGGGCTGTTGGAAGTTTCTTGGGCAGGGGAAGACTAGACTTTGCTAAGGCGACATGATGTTTTTGGACCGACATGTATTCACACGTAAGAGGTGCTCAGCTTAGCAACTGTTAATATACCTGAAAAATCAGATACTTCAAATCAGAATGGATTGAAAACAGATTTATCTGACTCAATTTTTACTGTCCACTGGCCAGCTAGGAAATGTAAAATTTTTCTCAAAAAAAACTCACATTTTAGACAAAAGACTTTTTTTTTACACTTTGTACTGTACTCCACAATTTACCAATTGTTTGTTACTGATAGTCTTTCCAGTTTTACAATGCATTTTTACAATCAACAGTACAATCTCAAATTGCACAATCCCTATCCTGCTTAGAGTTGTTCAAAGGCAAGAACCCTCAGAACTGGAGGATAAAGCTGCTAACTGCTCTCTGCCCTCTGATCCCATCTTTGAACTGCACTGAAAGCAGATCATGATCGTATTGCTTAGATGAGATAAAACTGGACCTGAAACCATGCGGAATCAAAGCACCTTTACCCTGCAGCAGAAACATGTCGGTATAAAAACTGGTTTATCATTTCCGGCCATTGATTAAAGTGACAATGCCCAGGGATTGAGTGTATAACTTAGTGAGACTAACTGTTCTCACCTGTGTATATATGGGACAGTGACAGCTCAGGGAACCTTGTAGAGTCAGTCACTTGCAATGAGGTGAAAATGGCTTTTAACAGGAGTGTGCAGCAAGTATAATGTTACTGTAACTAGGAGAAGAAAAGCATTCAGTTCCATTCTCACCTTGTTGCACAAATGAGCTATTGCTCCCAGTGCTGTCAGTAATCTGCGGAGCACCCTGCTGTTGCAGCATTTTATGGCCCCTGTTGCACAGCAGGGTTATTGATGTGCCATGATAAAGAAAAGATTGTAAGGCCCCACTCCCCGGGGCAGCCTCTTTAGATCCGTGTGGGGCACAGATACAGGACTGTAATGTTGTAGCCCATTCTCTGATCTGTGCTTATGTCTAGTGAGTCTCCACACTGACAGCAGAGCCTCTCAATTCCTTGTATTTGTGCCAGCAGCAAGATTACTTGGAAAAAATGATCTCATGCTGTTCGCGCTTTGCACTTGTGTGCAGCTGACTTCATGTAAAAGCCCAGACAGAGCCTTCACGGGCTTTCAAACACAGCAACATCACAAGTGAACACTTTTTTTTTAATTGAACCTCCACATACAAGCACTCTCCATTAGGAGGCACTGGTCATCATAGTCTCTTCTGAATTATAACATTCCAAGAAGAGATTAAGCACTTCAACGTGACAACTGTAAATTGCATTCATACAGAGCCTTTTCAATAGTGACACATTGCTAAGCTCCATCATTGGAACAGTATCAAGCAGAGTTTGGCACTGTGCCTTATAAGGACTAAAAGCTGGGACAAAGAGAATTTTAAAGTGAGAGAGACCAGGACAGTGTTAGGGAGGGTATTGCAGAGCTTAGACAGCTGAAGACATGGCCACTTATTATGGAGAGAAGTTCAGGGATCCCAGAGGGATGTAAGGCTGGACGACATTACAGAGATAGGGAGGGACAAGGTGACAGAAAATTTGAAAACAAGAACAATTTTAAAATTGAAATGTTGTGAGACTGGGAGTTAGAAATAACACATGAATGGCACTTCATGTAAATTAGGATTGTGGCAGCAGTTTCTTGGATAAATTTGAGTTTATGTGGACTGGAAGATGGGAAGCCAGCCAGGACATCATCGGAATTGTCAGGTCTAGGAGTAACAAAGGAATGGATAAGGGTTTCTGACCAGCCAGACTGAAATTGGATGGGGAGTGTTGAGTCCAGTTCTGGTTTTTGGATGCGCAGTGCCAAACATCAGAGATGGAAGAGGGTTTGAAAGAGGTGATAATTTATCTGGGGATGAATGAAGGAAACTGAGGAAAATTTTTTGTCAATGATTAAGATTTTGATAAAACATATTGGAATGGTGGATCAATCAGCAAAACTAAATAGGTTAAAAAATAATTAAGGATTAACAGTTATTGTAGATTCAAGGTGGCTGATCCTCTCCAACATTCTTGATGTCTATAGATATCAGATTCCATGTTGACACTAGAAGGCTGGACAGTTATGCGTAAACTTCCAAAAGCCATTTGAAAATGACTGATGGCAAAGGCAGTTTATTAAGCAGTGGAATTCATGATACCACCTGGAAATGAGTAAGAAATTTTCTGAAAGGGAGGAAGTATCTGTTTGATAAGTTATTGAGGTGGGATGGCAAAAGACCGAATAGGGTGCCCCGGGGATCATTGTAAGCATCTCAACGTTTTACATGACATTTATAACTTAAATTCTGAAGAATGATGAAAGCAGTTCAAATTTGCAGATGATACCAAATTAGTGTTATGCAATAACAAAGGAACCTCAAAAGGAATGAAGCAATTGACTGAAGAAATTTGGGCTGTTGGCATGGGATGTGCTCATCAGGAGACTCCCTGTCCACTTGTCAGAGGGCATACGACGGGTAGGTTTGGTGCTATAATAATCCAGGGCAGCATCATGCCTGTCTGAGTGCCCACCGGCACACAGGCAGCTAGTACCTTGTGAAAGCTGCTTGGCTTCACCCAGCAGCCCTGACTTGTTGACACATTTTCAAAAAGCTTTTCAGTCTCTGTGTAGACCTTACATTCATCTATCTGGACACCAACAGGATTTCTTTTTCCCATTGTGCAGTCCTTCAATAGAACCCAGCTTGGGGACAAGAAAATTCCCAATTTGAGACGTGATCCCTATGATAAGGGGATGTGATGGATGAATGCTCTGCCCCATAAGGAGCTATTAAGAATTAATCATTCAGGATGGGACCTGATTTTCTGGATCTTGATCTAATTTGACAGCTTGCACTAGAAAGCCTGAAGGTTTTCTTGGCCAAGACATGAGTGGTCAGGCCGGTGGCAGATGAAATTTAATATTAAGAAGGTGTAAAGTTTAAAATTAGGAAGAAAATAAATGGATATTTTGTAAAAGCTCTTGAATAACTTGACAATATTGAAAGAACTCTTGGAGGCTATATTTGCAAATTATGTCAAGATGGGTAGGAAAGTACACTGTGAAGAATACATAAGGAATTTGCAGGTGCATATAGATAGGTTGAATGAGTGGGAAAAGGTCTGACAGATGGAGCATATGGTGTGGGAGAATATGATGTTATATAGTTTTGTAGGCAGAATGATAGAGTATTATTGAAATGGAGAACAACTGTGGAATTCTAAGGTGCAGAGGGATAATAACAATATTGCAAAATGCTAGTACACAAGTACAGCAGGAAATTAAAGAGTAATGAGATGCTATTCTTTATTACAAGATGAACTGAACATTAAAATAATAATACAATGATTAAGTTATGCAGGGCATCATTAAATCAAATCTTGAACACCGGGTGTCGTTTTGTTCTCCTTTTTTTTAGGATGTGAATGTGTTAGAGGTGGCTCAGAGGAAATTTACTCGATTGTAACCTGGAATGAGCAAGTTTTTTGATGATGATAAGTTGCACAGATTGGGCTCATTTCCCTTGTTTCACTGGAAGACAGGGATGACTTGATTGCAGTTTATATAACCCTAAATAGTCTTCACAAAGTAAACATGGAATGGATGTGGAAAGTCCTGTGGGTGAGTCAGAACTAGGGGTCAATGTTTCAAAATTACATGTTGGCCTTTTAGGACAGAGATGAGCTACATTTTCTCTCAGGGGCTTGCGTGATTTTGGAACTGTCTGTCTCAGAAGGCAATGGGTGATCGAGCACTTTTAAATCAGAGGTTGTTCCTTGTTAGGCGGCAATCAAGGGTTATCAAGGATAGATGGGGATGTGGGATTTGAAACACAAACAGATCAGCCGTGATCTTATTGAATGGCTCAAGGGCCTGAAAAGCTTAATTCTGCTTTTAATTTCACGTGTTTGTGTCTTTGTGGAATTAGTTGACCTGTTGAAAATGTTAAGCATCACAATATAGCAATCACTGAAGTAAATACTTTTTTTAATCTATATAACCTCACTAGTGAAGTGCAGATCAGAGAAAAATATGTTCAGCATCATGGAACCCTGAGCCCATGACCATATTCTCGTCACTGAGAAAGCAGGAAACAGTAAAGCCCAAAAGAGAAGACCAGATTACAGCTTTAACGCTAGCAATGACTGGTTGGGTTGGAAGGCCTGTTTTTGGTTGATATCTTTCATCTAATTTTGAAGTGTGAAGAAAGACTGGAAATGCTCGAGGTAAAAATGACCTGATGGGTAATCTTTTCACGCAGAGGGTGGTGCATGTATGTGATGAGCTGCCAGAGGAAGTGATGGAGGCTGGTACAATTACAGCATGTAAAAGGCATCTGGATGGGTAAATGGATAGGAAGGGTCTAGAGGGATATGGGCCAAATGATGGCAAGTGGGATTAGATCAGATTGGGATATCTGGTCAGTGTGGATGAATTGGACTGAAGGTTCTGTTTCTGTTCTGTATGACTCTATGATTCTATAAGTCTAAGATATTGGAAGGGTGATGCAGTGTCAGTGTCTAACATTGCACTGCAAATATATCTCTGAAACTCCACTTTAAACCAAAACATAACAGTAGCACACAAGGCCACAGGTTGAAATTACTGAAAGAAGGAGGGCAGGAGGTAATGACTCAGTGTGTGGAATCTGGATAGAATTTATCTTAATGGGGTTAGGGGGATTGAGTTTCTGTTGATGCAAAATTAAACTTCTGGGAATATTAACGCAAAAATAGTATTTTATGTTTGAAATTCCTCACACCAACAAAAAAGCTCCAGTAACCCACTTTTGGCAAACTTGATAGAATTTAAAAATTGGAGACAAGCTAGAACTCCCTTCACAGATGTTGACCTCTGATGTAGATGCAGGAGTGTTGCTAGGAGGCAAACAGCTCCTGGAATGTAGTACTCTCGGGGTTAGAGGAGGGCAGGAGGATGACTGGAGGAAGAAGGGTGCAGGATTTGATGGACATGCAATGAAAGGCCGCGATGACAAACCTCTCAGGGAGCCAGCTGATAGAACAAAGAAGAGAGTGAAAAACGTAGAAGCAAATCCAGGAGGAGTTACAGAGCAGCACTCCACTACAGCTCGAAGGTTCCAAAGAGTGACCCAAGCAGGCTACATGGGAGCATCTAGAAAAGCTATAACACAGATGGTTTCATTTAATGAAATCTGGCAGACAGTCAAACTGACTAAATCCATGGCAAGCTTGGTCACTCTACAGCTTAGGCAGGATTTCAGTATTTCCACTAACTACAGGACAGGTTGGTAATGGTTTAAAAATACATATAAGACCACATTTTACTCTGTGCACTAGAGGACAATGCTGTGAAGCTAGGATGCAAGGCTGGGAGAATATCCAAGTCCGATGGATGTCAATTTAAGTTTGTGTTTAAATCCTGGCTCTTTCTGGACAGAGTAGAAAGACAGAATAGGACTTTAAAGGGGCCTGAGTGATATGGCCTACGGTGAGATTTGTGGCAGGGTTGGGTGAGAAGCCCTGTGAGGCCTACCTCAACATCAGGAGTATCTTGCTGTATCTTTTATGCATTTACCAAGTGGCAAGGTGAGTTTTCAATTAAATGGGATTAATGTTTTTAATTCCCTTATTAACAGCTACCCTTGCCTTGATATGCAGTTTTCCATCTTATTAAACATGGGGAATAAGCTAGACATTGAGAATTTTCAACATGGAAGTCACAGCTGGTACTTGTGATTTCAACTTACCACTTGCTCCAAAGGTCTGCCATGTTGGACACCAGGCACCAACATCTCAGGGCATACTCCAGGGGCATCAGCCATGTGTACCAGACATGCACGAACATTGGCATCTGACATGTCCCAGCCTCTAAAACCCTTCATGGTATATCTCCGATCCACTCACAGAATGTGTCTGCACACTTCCATGCTGTACTTTAGGTTGGAAGGTGACTCAGGGACACACACACACCCAACTCATTGATGGGACCAGGT